TCTCTCTCTCTCTCTCTCTCTCTCTCTCTCTCTCTCTCTCTCTCTCTGGTATTCAAGCGGATAAACGAGCAAATAAACAAACACAGCTCAAGAGACGAAATGGCAGGAGATATAATCGATGTCAACACATAAAACACGGGTAAGTGCTTAAGCGCATCTTTCTCTCTGTGTGTCGTTTGAGTCGTTTTATCCGAAACAATTAAAAATCAACAACAAAACAACAGGCAACTTATATGTATTGAAAAGAAAATTTCGGGGCGGAGTTAGAACGATGCACACGGCAATACAACCGGAAAGTGTGTACGGAGTACATAGATCGATCGAACGAAAAGGAGGGATAGACAGCATACACACAACGTATGTGGCGAACAATCATCAAATGACGAAAATGATGATGACGAATTGCTATTTACTTGTGTGTGTGTATTGGTTGCAGCAAAGGGTATCCCAGCCAAGTTCACTGTAGCATACAATCAGTTTTGGTGTGGCGGTTAGTGCGAACGATCGGTTCTTCGTATACACAGCTAATACGATTGAGCAAAGTTTTTTTTTTCACTGAAGGATAACATTTGAAGGAAGAAAAAAATTCGCAGATTGAAAAACAAAAGTTTTGTGGATTAGATGAAGAAAATAATTCTGTGAAAGTCAAAAAAATATCGTAAAAAAATTGCAAAACATCACAAGTGATCAGAATTAAGCGAAAATTGCTATCAAGTGAATTTCTTTAAGCCAATAGATTGTGACGCGAAAAAAACTCGATCAAGATGATGAACGACGCTTTAGCTGGTATGATTCCATACGATTCGATTGGATTGTATGAACAGCCAAAGCCGAGATTTTTCTTCAAAATGCCGCGAGTCGTTCCGGAACAAAAGTCGAAATTCGAAAGTGACGAACTCTTCCGACGACTTAGTCGCGAGTGTGAGGTAAGGAACCGATTTAAAAAAGACTAAATTTTTTTTTTTAGAAATAGAAGGCATTTAGATTTTTGTCTCAAAACTTTTATCTCTTCTTCGTGAATGCCATGAGAATTTAACAAGTAAAAAATTTCGCGATTTCTTCTTCGTCTTTTCTTGACCCATAATTCCCGATGTATTCAACACAAATCGACGACGGTATATTTTCAATGCGGATGAATCATAACATTTCATCAGAAGCACACGATTAAATTTGAATTCGTATGAATGAAATAGCGAAACAGAAGAGAAACAGTGTAATAAAAGTGAATATAAACAAGTGTCGCAGCGATTACAAAACTGTTTTTTTTGCACGCGCGCGAGAAGCGTATAACCTGTGTGTGTGGTATTTCCTATGATGTTCACATACTTGCTTCATACAATTTTTCGATACACAGTGTTGTAGTTCCACGCGCATTTTGTATCTATTTAATGACGAGAGCGACGGCAGTGACGCCGTCGTCAAATAATTCATTATAAATTCAAATATTAATGCCGAGAGCGAGTGAGTGATACACGGCACACAATCTGATGTGTCTATATGTGAATAATCTTGACCAGTCAGTCCGTTTGCATGACGTAGCCACCTTTTTCTGCGTATTACGATTTATTTTCGAGAATCAATAAACTACCTGTTTTGTTTCTTGATCGTAAACAAAATCCCAAGCGAAATATGTATGAGGCAGCGGAGGCGAACTCATATGCATTATTATTTTATCGAATAGTTTTTGTTGTTGTTTGTCCGCTCAAAGTCATTCCAATCCACAGATAAAATTTATCTTGAAAAATGTTCATATTCTTTTCGTAAGACATGCTCAGACGGACTTTGGTTCTTCCTGTAAAAAGAACATATTGGGCTAAAAAAAAGTCCTTGAATAATTCTCAAAAGAACATATTAAGTCAACGAACACAGTTTTTTTTCCTTCAGAACCATGATTTTAAATGGAAAATCTATTGTTTTTTTGTCTATAGATTCGTTACACAGGCTACCGAGATCGTCCACAAGAAGAGCGACAAATTCGTTTCCAGAATGATACTCGCACTCAAGGCCGTACAGAGATTGCATTTGTAGCATCTGGAACAAATCTACAGCTAACATTCACCAACAACATGACGCCGTATGGACCACACGAACGTGAATTGGATTTCGACAAAGAGCCAGGCAAAGTAAGTGCACCCACCAATCTATCTGTTCTATTCGCTAAACCATTTTGAACAACCATGATAATTTGTGAATCAATTATACCAAAGTAAACAAAAGCTCTTTGAAATGCACTCGCATTTGAGTGATTACGTCAATTCCAGTTTATACGTTTGATTGATATGATACGCCTATTAAATCGTTTGTTATGTATTATTTGACATTTTCAAAGCAAAAATTCCGATCGATTTTCATTCTGAATAGTATACAATTATTATACTGGGAATAGACCAGAAAAATGTACGAATGAACAGTAAATTGGATTCAATTTTACGAAACAAGAAACGTGCATTCTATTCGGAGAGGATTTTATACGTGTTGCATCGAAAATTTGGCGTGACTAAAACTAATTGTTGGCAGTTCATCTCATTCTTTTTGTTCATTTTATCCCAAAAACGGTTCGTTTTTTTTCTCTCTTCAACCGAAAATGCTCTTTTTAGAGAAAAACTACAGAAGGATATGGAAAAAAAATCTCAGAAAGAAGATTGAAAAATGAAAAAACTCAAATCCGTACACGCAACGTCATTCCCAGCAGAATATTCATTGAACTCTTTTCATGAAACTTGCCCCCAGTCAAAAATCGATTTTTTGTGTATCTCTGAAATAATCGACGCGATTTGTTTTTCTCGTTTCTCATTTGAAACGGCGATTTTATTTGCTTATGTAAAGTCAGCCATTTTTGTTCTATTTACTTTTTGTCGCACCAGTAACTGGTATTCGATGAAACGAAATATTGAGATCATGCGCAATTCATCTCCGTTTCGGCGAGATGCCATTCAAATAGCAGACATGGCACGGGGTTTATCGGAGCGTCTATTTCGGCCGTTCTATAGGAAAATAGTGACTAAACTGGAATTCATATTTCGGAAGCATCAATCCTGCTTTTCTATTGGTGGTCCTAAAAATATCGAATTTCAAGGACATGAATCCGTGCCGTTGCGAGTCATTTATACCAAATATTTGACATGTTTACAAGCTATAAAAGCAAATTGAGCGACATAAACTAACAAACTGACGCCTGAAATGCTCACGAGCCACTTTCACGCACCATGGTGAAAATCCTTTAAAAACTTTAAATTCTTTGCATTAACGCAGCCGATTCGGTGTCGTCGAAGATAAATCGTGACATAAACATATGCTCATCTGAATTTTTCTTCATGACGTGTCCAGAAATGGATATTCTCAAAAGTGTGCTTTGGCACGCACTCGCCCAAGAGCCATATTTACATTGCATCGACCAAACCTATTGGTGATGCTGAAGAGTTCTTCACTCCGTTTGCCTTAGCACTTGAAATCCAAAGAGCTCTTGCCTGCTGGGGATTATGGGGTCTATGCTGCAAATTGACTTTTAAGTCGAATTCAATTAGTCTTCCGAATTCGTTGAAGAGTAACAACAAAATTTATAGTTTCCGACGACACTTTTATCGGTGCAATCATAAATATGTTTATGCTGCTGTTTGTATTGTTTGAGCAAAGGAACGAAACTTGAATAGATGTCATCCAGAGAAAATGAGAGATGTAACGACAAAGTCATTTGTCTTTCGAATTTTGGCTATTTTGTTTTGGGAGTCACAAAACTGGTGATAAAATAGAAATTCAACGAAAATCTCGGCCTGAAATTCAATAGAAACAGCACTTCCTTGCAGAAACACGTTCGCCTCAGTATCGAAATATATTCTCTCTTGGGCATATGAACAAAACAGTCGTTTCTTTTCTTACAGCTCGAAGCGGGCTACCTGATGATGTTGATCTCTTATTTGCTGTATGTTTGTTGCTTTTGCTTTTGCTTGACATTATTATTTGTCGGAATTGTTTTGTTGTCACATTCACAACAAGCACACATATACTCGGTCGTTTCCATTTCCTTTGGACCCCGATCGCCTTTGTATCGATTTCTCTGCGTCTGATTCTAAGACACGATCAGTGTAACGAAAAAGGCAAATAAACACAAACGCCAAATGGTGCTAAAAACAATATCTTTTGAAAATGACGAACAACAGCAGAAGAAGAAGAAGAGAAAAAAATCTAAGAAAGAATGAACATGATAACAAAGAACGAATGTGAAGGAGATGAAAGAATAAAAGCAACGAGTGAGAGAGAACGGGAGATTGAGAGAGAAACGGCAGCTACAGTGGAATAAGTGTCAGTTAATAAACGCTCTATGCGAATTAGGATCATTTCAAAGTTAAATGGTATATATCTTGCGCCTTTGTGTTTATCTATCCGGATTTGCTTTCGTTTTCTACCTGAAAGAAAAAAAGCAACAACAACCCACATTACTCATTCGGACTCAACGAATGTATATATATGCAATCGATCTTTTTAAAACAAGTTTTTTTTTTGTTTCACTGTCTCATTTCAAAATGCCAACGTTTTTGTTGCTACATTGGATTTTATCTGAAATCATTTTCGCTTTGTTCAGTTTTCTATTGCATCAGATTACTTAGAAAAATACAACGTAATAATCAAACACAAGAAGGAAAAAAATCATAGCCTTTTCTGCCGTCTACAATAAAAGGTGCATTATTGCTGTTTGTCCGGATGATTAGTGATGATTACGATTTATTATTAGCTGGTGCAAACATTTTCGACGTGAAATCATATTGATGTATTTGTAAAATGTAATCATATCGAATGTTATTTAACACTTCAGTTATCGTATCAATCAATGGATTTAGCCCATTCGGCCGGTAGTAATAACGAATTGAAGGGCAAAGGCAAACATTACAATTGGTTGATTTTTTTTCTTCTTTTTTTCTGAAATGAAAGAAGTTGCATATAAACGTAAATGGATTTTACCTGTTAATGCATTCCCGAACACAAGTAAAAATACACACAACAAATTGATCAAAAGTGAAGCGAGTAAACGAAAAAAAGAGGCCAATAATGCATTTAAAGGAAAATTACGAATAATTGCCGGTTCGGTGCTCAAGATCAAGTCAACAATCTTGTACGAACAACGAAAAATAACAACATGGAAATTATATAAATTTCCGTAAAATATCAATCATACGCTTGTAAAAGGTTTTTTTTTGGAAATTGTTTTTTTCTGTTGTTGTTGGTCATTTTGAGTGAATTGAACAAGTCCGAATGGTTTTGAAATTGGAATTTCCTGCACACGTACAAAGCACGGCTTGCATTTGTACTACTTTGTGTGATTAAACAACGATGGGCCTTTCTCTGTCGGACGACTGATCAACCAGATGACACTGGCCGATATGGCTCATTTGAACAACATGACCATTGGTCAAGGCGGGTTTTGGGCAACGCCATGTGCTGCTCGCTTCTCTGACCGAAACCAAATACCTAAAAGTTACAACTGTAATTTTCAATCCACGCACATTTTTTGATACGGTAATTGTGCTCTCGAGTCTCTTTGGGACGAAGTACCATCGAAAAGGTGACAAAGTTCAGCTTATTAAATTATTGATCCCGTTCACTTCAGTCGAATGATGTTGAACTTTTGTTTTCATCGCTCTGTGATTAAATCATTTCAGTTAAATGCATTCGGCACAACCCATTCCCTGGTGGATGCTTTTTCACTTTTTTCTTGTCGCCCTTTCAAAAGTTTACTATTTTGCTAAACAATTTTTTCCGTCTCTTCGGTGTCGACGCTGTTTTGGAAGTCCCATTGAGCGCGCGTTCCTAGTGCTCTTCTGTAATTACGGGAAAAACGTAAATATGACACGGCAGGCGGTGCATTGATTTTGCACACGGTGCATCATGACTACATTCTCAAACAATAACAATATTGAAGGAGAAAATAAAACAAAACAACGCTTAGAGGGTCGTGATTCCCTTCGTTGCACAGCATCGGTAGTTATAGTGCCACGTTGATTCAATCCCAATTTCAGCACCTCCACGGGACGCCGTGTAATTCTTTTTGATTTTTTGATTTAACAAATCGACATGCCGACTCATTTTCGATATTTCAACGCGCACCGCTGTCGATTGCTTTCCTTCTCTATTGACTCCGTTTATCGGACGCGATGCACAGCATCAGCCAAATCGCAACTGTTTGGCTCGATTCAAACAACGGCGGTAGTTTTTAGCCAAATTGACACGTTTGATCGAACCTTTTTTTTAAATGATAATTTGATTTGAATATAAAAAAAATCGACGAACTAAAGGAATGGCTTTGTTTATGTTCAATTTTAGTCGCAGCGAATTCAATTAAATTAACGAGCACAACAAATGACTTCAGGGCGAGGAAAAATTGCTTTCAATGGAAAGAATTCGATTTTAGCAGCTTCCGTTTATTTTGATCAAATTCAATTTTAAACTTTGCTTTTCGATGTGCCATTTACGGGCATTGAAACATCTGGTTGAATGAAAGAGGCTTGGCCAGTTGAACAGACTCGTTTGGGTTGTTGTTTTGGGGAAAACCCAACGTTTTAATGATAAAAGCAGTCTGAAGGCTTTTGATTAAATGGAAGCAACGTCACTTTTTATCTACGTGATTAGACAATTTTATCATATTGGAAACTATGCCAAAGTTGGCAAATGTAATTCAATTTCAATTCATCTAAAGTCACGGCCTTCCGCTTTGGATTGTATTTAAAATACAGTATTTCAATTAAATTCACGAAGATTTTCTAGAAAATCCATCCAAAAAACGTTTTAAATACGAAAAAAAAATAAACCAGGAATAGCCTCAACATTCAATACTATCGAATCCATAGTAAATGCTGAGCGTTGTGCGTGTGTGGTGTCGAAATATGATGCGTAAACTCTGAAGACCCCAGCAAATAGTTTTTTTTCCATAGAAATATTGATATTTTTCTGTTTTTTTCTCTCTTTCGGACCTGCTGTGCAGCCGGAAGTGCCCAATAAATAATTAAACAATTTTCTACGTTCGGATAACATGTGTTAGCGTTGAGCTGGTTGCTGCAAGCGCATAACCGAATAAACACAGTTTGATGCGTCTAATTATCCTTAATCATAGTACGGACTATTGACTCCAAAGGCTAAACACAAAAACACGAGACGAACGTCAAAACCGAAAAACTCGGTATTTGAAACTATTCTCTTTTGCTGTGCCGAACCAAATTCGAAACATTTGAGCGATTGCTTTATGGCACAATTTGGAAGGTCATAAAAGGAACAGAGCAACAAAAAGTCGGAACACGCACAATTCACAGAACCTCACACAACGAAGACAAGACCAATAAAACTGACAGAAAGTCAAATGTTCATTTCTTTAAAAAAAAAAAACTCAAAAGCCTTTTGTTTAGAAACGCTCGATACGAAATTCCGATGAAACGCGTTGAAAAATACATTACACGGATAATGAGCGTAATCATTTTTTATCGTTTCAGTTTCAATACAACTTTTGTTTGCTTTGAGATTGAGTTAATTACCGATTCATGAAAAAGATTTATGTAAATCAAGAGAATTAACGACTTTGAATGCATTCAATTAATCAGATTCGTTTTCTTCATCTTTTCAATAGGTTCATATTAAATCGCATATGATCATGAATGGTGTCTGTGTACGGTTTCGCGGTTGGATCGATTTGGAGCGTTTGGATGGCGTTGGTTGCTTGGAGTATGATGAACGTCGTGCGGCTCAAGAGGATGCCATTCTGCGTGATCAAATCGAACGGTACAATCAACGTTTGCGCGATTTCGAAGACAATAAACGAGCTTATCGTGGCGAACGACAAGACGATCTCGAAGCCGTACGACGTGGCGGTATTGGTGTTGGTGTTGGTGCTGGCATGTGGAGACGATAAATTCATCGATTTCAATAGCACCTTTTTTCAGCGGCATCACATTTTTTTACTTTAAATTACCTTTATTTATGAATTCAAACTTTTGTCATATAAAAGTGTGATTCACTTTGATGGATTATTATGTATACAGAAATGAGAAAAAAATTACCTTTATATTTACAATGAAGCCCCCCACTTTTAGTTGTTTTAAAACTAACAATTAATTCATTGTAAGCGATAATATTGTAAAGAAGAAGAAGAAGATAACGGAAAAAAAAGAGAGAAAAACACCATTTTACGTTCGATGTATTTTATGTTTTTGATTTTTTCTGAAGCGAATCTCTCACTATTAATGAAAATAAAAGGCTGGTGACTCCTGTTTAATTTCAAAAGAAACTCTTTTTGTGTTTATTTTCTATTTGCGTTTTTTTTTGTTCTTAGAAATATTTGTAGAATTTGATGTCTTTCTCTCTCTCTCTCTAAAATTGATTTTTTTTTCTTAGCATAAACTCAACACATTGAGCCTAAAGTATCATCCGGCCATTCAAAAGATATGCACACACACCAACGATTCAGTCGTTGTAGCAAATTAAAATGTTTAGATTAGGTGCAATCACAATTCTTTGTTCGTTTGTGTCGATCTTCCGTTCGTTTTTTCTTGTCAATTGGCTTATGTTAAATTTTCCCATTTACATATGTATAAACCTGAAAAAAAAAATCATTTGGTGAAAATTAATCCACATCCATTTTATTAATAACTGCATCAGTCGTGAACAAATAAATATTACGAATATTAAGAATCGAAATGATGTGTTGTTCATTTCATCGAAAATGACCTTTTAGCTGCTGAAAAGTGACAACATCGATAAATATCGGGATGAAAAGGACTGAAATATATCACGGATTGAAAGGTAGGTATGGATGCGAATCAGTTACATCTGCTGTTGGTCGCCTCTGACAAAAAGGGCAACAATAAAATGTGGCACAATAACAAACGGCGAACATTGTTGGACCAAACACCGCCTCAAAGGACAGAACATTTAATGTTGTGGCATAAATTAGAGCAAATTTCATCAAATCGCCCAATGTGACACGTTATTTATGAGGTAATCATGTAAATTTTTTCCTGTTTTACATTTGATTAACTACTTTTTCTGTTTGTTCTGACTGAGAGCGAGGAAAAAAACAGTTGCTCACGCGTGCTTTTAACCCTTTTGATGACAAATGCGAATGGGCGTCCATTCGAAATGGACATTACAACTGACTTTAAATACCTACGACATTTGGAATTCATCGTTTGAATGAAAATATTCAGTAAAAATAATAAAAGAGCAAAAAGAGTTAAGTGATTGAAAAAAATGAAACAGAAATCTTTTCAATTAAACTTCCTTCTCCTGGGAAGACTATTGTTTTTTTTTCGTTCGGTAGATTGTGCGAGAGATGGCAATTAATGCGAATTTGCTATCTTGCATCGCAAAATCAATTGTTCAATTTATAATTTATTTGGTGCCGAATTAATGTTTTGTATAAAATGCGTGCAAAACACACTCTTCTGAAGTGCAGTGAAACGAACGAGAGAATAAAATCCATTACAACCTCATACCCGTTTGCAATACAAAAATTCACATTGTCGCTCCCTATTTTGCAGTTGTTGCATGCCTTGTCTGCCTTGTTCCAGGTCAATAGTTTTAACTAATCATTTTTTATTATTCTCTCTAACTCATTTTTTTTCCATTATAAATTGTTTCTGAATTTATTTTCTCGCTAGTTGGTTTTTATTCTGTTTAACGGAAACGCCCATTTTCATTCACACAGTTGATAGACCTATTACGGTACAATGCTGAGCGACGAACATGGTCAATTCATAGAATTGAGAAAAATAGACGACGACGACGACGATGAAAAAAAAATTAATCGAATGAAAGGGTTGCACATTGTTTCAGTTTATTAATTTTCAGTTTGTTCGAATGAAACGCTTGATCCATTTTGGCTGGTTTTATTTATTGCTCGAGTGTGACGTTGCAACAAACTCGTTTCGTTTACGCTGTCGCTCATGTGACTGAACTTCCAAGTGTGTAACACATTCCATAAACGTTGCAACGTTTTTTTCATCACGTATCAACGCCAAATTTGAATTTTGTATGAATCATTGAATGTGAGTCAACTATACCAACCAAAGGCGGTTGCAGTCAGAGAGGAGGTAAATGAGGCTAAATATGGACGATTTTGATTTCTAGTTTTGGTTTAATTTTTATTTTTGTTACGTTAAGAATGACTTTTATCCATCAATTGAGTGACAATTGAATTACATTCAGTCAAAATTCAGCTCAGAACGGTAAGTCATCCAAGTTGATTGTAATTATCTGACTTTTTCCTGGACGTATAGTAAGTAATAGTATGAGCTTCATACTTGCTCATTCCGAAATCGCAAAGGGAAAGTATCGCAGATGTTTTTCTATAGGCATTAGTGTCATTTATGCCCAAAATCGTTTCAATTATCCCAAAATCGATTAAATTCCTATTTTTATCGCAAAATCGGTAGTTTTTGCCCAAAAAATACAGAGAACTTTCCTGGAAATAAATATCCAGTCTCATCAACACTCTTTTATTAGTCAATTTCCGTGTATAAAAAAGGCGGCATTAAATTAATGCACCCTTTTTTGTGAACTAACACTACTTTTTTGTATAGTTCCCATCGAGATTACAACTCAATTGGTGAATATCGTAGCAAAAAAAACGGTACCATTTATCTAATGTGCGATAATATTAGACACGCTCACCCTTTATCCGATAGCTAAACTGTCCGTTCATTATTTTACAGATTTTCGGAAATGATACGTTTTTTTCGGCACACATGATTCGGCGTGATTTTGACTCATAAGATAAAATAGTCTTATTGAATGATTGAGTATATCGGAGAAAAAACGGGCTAGCTGCAAAAAAACGTTTGCATTGCTGAATGTTATTTTTATCAAACATTTATTTTCAATCGAATCAATCAAAGTGTATTTGTGGCATGTGCCGGAGCATTTTTTTCGGCAGCGTGTGATATGATAGGTCAACAAAGGCGCGTGTATCTAGTTAAAATTGGGCCTTAGCTTATATCAAAATGGAACATGAATTTAAAACAATTATTTTAAATCACGAATTCGGGATAACGCGACCAATTGCTCGAATAAACATTTTTAATCGTTTAAAGTGCAGAAACACGTTGTGATGAAATTTCGTATGAAATTTCGTTTGAAAAAATATTTTATATGGAATATCCTGGATAAGCATACCTATCAGCTATAACAAATGTTATTTTTGATTTAATTCCAATTTCAGCGAACAGTTTCCGCTTGAAATGATGAGTTTTTGGTTGATGCATACGTTTTTGATGTCATAACATTTTGAGATAGCACGTTCGCACAATAGAATCGTGTCATTTTTGTTTATACTCAGAAGCCGATTAAGAACTGCATGAGCTAGTTTAAAACATATCTTGAGTTGATTTAAATTTATAGGAGACAAAAATTGACGTCTAATAATCGTGGTTCTGTTCCTTAGATTTGATGACAAGATGACTATACCAAATGACGTATCCAATACCTGAAAACCATAGCTACCAATTTCTCCAATCGATTCATATGTTCTCAAAAATAATAACTCTTTCTCTGCGTATGAAAATTCTCATGAATTGAAATTTCCCACCAAAGGCTGACAACAAATTATCCGATTTGCGTGAAAGTGTCGATTTATGAGCCGAAAACTAAATATTTTTGTAGATTTTGCGGATATTTTCTGGCATCTAATGGTCAAAATAGTTCAGAAATCATTCGATTTTCCCGTAAATCAGTAGCTAGATCAGCCTTGGAATCGATTCAAAGCGCCTCTACAAAGCATTCATCAGCCATTTACCCTTTCGAATCTAACGACAAAACTATGTGAGCATAGCCTTGTCAAGCGCGTACGTATGTAATGTGTCAAAAGATTATCCTAAATATAGTTAAGCTGAAACTCAAACAATATTCCAATTTCAACTCAAACGATCCCTTCGTCAGTGTAGCGATTGGAATAAACGGCGAACAGTGGCACACAGCGTCAACCCTATGTATGTTTGCATACTCACATTCAATTGCGAAAACATTTCCGTTGAGCAAATGAATATAAATGCTGAGGGAGCACTCATCGTATTTTCTGTCGTCTTTGGATTTGTTTAAATGTTTCGATTTTCAATTTGCTCATTTCCAGGCGTTACACAAATGACACTTTCTGCTCTTTTTTCACAAAACAAATGGCATAATCTCTATTTTTTCTCGAAGCGTTGAATGCTCTTTTCGCAAGTTCAACATTCAATTTCAATTAAATTTAATTGTGCAGTCGAATGGATTGAGTCTTTGTGCCAACATATGACCAGAGGTATGGTATGCATCGTTTGATTTATTGAACTGTGTTTCTTTTGCATGTTCAAATTACAAATTTTTATTTAAAGTAAGGCAAAAAAGCCGTTCGGTGCGTGTGTGTGGTTTTGGTTGTAATTTTCTCTCTCTATGCTCCAGCATTTCGAAACATGATTACAGGATGAGCAAGCGTTCTCTCGCTCAGTTTTATCGCTGTGTTCGTGTCATGATGAAATTTAAACGAAATTTTTGTATCAGTTTTTGCGGTTTCTTCTCCCGAGATGCGATACATAGATTCACACTCGAACATGTGCTTGACGATAACTCTTCGGCTTTCTATGCACGATGTTGGTTGAGGCTGAACAATGAAAACTGACACAAGAATTTTCCCTATTGTTTGCACTCGAATATTATCTTTGATGGTTTTTGTGGTTTGTTTTTTTTTCCCGCTCTTCCGAATGACGGAGCTAACGGAATGAGAACGAACAGCAACTTTATAATTATCATCGCCTCAACTCACTCACACGAAATATGGCTATACGAAACATGTTCATTTTAAAGTTTTAAATTGCATGTCTGTTCCTCTCGTATTTTTTGACCGAAAAGATAAATTATTTGCCATGGAAAATAAACAGAGCGAGATATCACCGCTGTTTGGATGATGCAACAGCAGACCTTGAATGCGAAGTGATGCAACATTTTTGGTGGAAAATCACGTTTTTGGCACAACTTTAGTGTGTGATCAAGTTAAAATTGAACATTAACTTTTAAATTGCTCTATTTAATCAAAGTACACGAAGTGAGAACGAACAGAAGGGAGTTACTGTGGTACCTGTAACAAGGAGCCATTCTAATCGGAACTGGATAACAACAGCGACAATATTCATTAGACTAATTTCCTTTGAATATCGAAATAATGGCATCATTATGTTCCACCCTCACATGTTCTCCTCTTCGAAATAAGGAAAAATGTTCATGCGTGACATTTGACTGCATTTGGCCTCGCCATTCATTCGATCATCACGTATGGCAAAGATGCAATTTATCCAAAATATTTTCGTTCGATTTCGTAATGATTTGTAAATAAAAGCATTTTGAGCATATAACAAGCGCAAACAATCGGGGGTGAATGCGAAAAAGAATAGAGACCGAAAAGGCACCAAAATTCACTGTTTGTGCATTATTTCGAGTGAAATATCCTGAACAAATTGCACATATTTTTTCGTATACACACAAACGAACACAATGAGTTTCTCGTTTTGTTTGAATTCGATTGTTCGTCGAGTTGACGCTTGTTCATTCATTCTCTCGGCCTATTATTTTCTGCTTCTCTTCGCTTTGGCTCTGCTCTGCTCAGCGCGCATAACGTGTAACCGAAGCAGAAAACTGCATCACAATATAGGCAACCAACGCTCACGTGAGCA